CCTCCACCCCCCCTGTGTGTGGCGGGGTCTCCCTGGTGGGCAGCTCGGTCCGGGGGCAGGAGAGCCGCGGCGGGTGCGGCTCAGCAGAGACGGGCGCGGGCGCACAGCCCCTGCCGCGAGCCCCGCCGCGCCGTGCCGAGAGGGAGGCCCAGCCCGCAGGTGCTGCCCCGTGGGCCTCCTTCTCTGTGGCCTTCGCAAAGGCCAGCCCGCAGGGACGGGACGAGGGCCGCGGGCGGGGGCTCGGCCGTGGGGGCGCCACCGGCTCCCCGACGCGCCGTCTGCCCGCACGGCCATCTCGCTGCGCCCACACCGTGAAGACCCTGCAGAGACTCAGATGTCCATGCGACGTGTCCTTCCCTTCTCGGCGACAGACGCAGACTGTCGCAGGACTCTGCCCTTTGCACCCGCTGCACCTGGTCAGCGTGGGTCCTGCGCGCCCCTGCAGTCCCCTGTCTGGTCCCGCGGTGGAGTTGGGGCGCGTGCCTCTCTGCGCGCGGGGCGCGGTGGCCGTGCGCTGACCGCGGGGCTGGCTGTGACCTCCGTCTGGGTGTGACCTCCGTCGCGGGGCTTCCGCGGGCCGGCGTGCCCTGCGTGCCGTCCACCACGCGGCGGGGAGACACGCGTGCACGTGGCGGCGGCCGCTCCTCCTGCTGCTCCGTGCGCGCCACAGTGTGGCTCAGCCCCCGCACGGCCGCCGCGCGGCCTCGTGTCCCAGCCCACGCCGTTGGCGCGCGTCCTCCCGTCTGTCCGCCCGGCCCGCAGCCCACGCAGGCCGTGGCCCCACGGTGGTGCCTGCGTGTCGCGTCCCTGTGGCATTGGCTCTTGGGAACACGAGCACGTGTCCCCGCGGGTGTGCTCCTGGCTGGGCCACAGGGCGGATGCAGGGCGGGGAGGCAGGGCGGGGACGGGGCCGCAGGGCGGGGGCGGGGCCGCAGGGCGGGGGCGGGGCCGCAGGGCGGGGGCGGGGCCGCAGGGCGGTGCTCGGCCTCCTGAGGGCCCTGCCGGTGGCTCCTGGTCCCTGCCGTCCTGTCCGGCACGTGCGCCGTGGGTCTGTCCGTCTCGCCCCGTGTGGTGAGCTTTGCCATCGGCCCGTGCCCGTGTGTGGCGCCTGTGCGCCCGTCCCGGGCGGGCCCGTGTGGCGCTGCCTCCTCCTCCGGTCCGTGCGAGCCCTGTAGCGTGTGCGTGGCGTGTCCGCCGTGCGCACTGTTACTGCGGCGTTTCCTCCATCCGCGCCGCGCCCCCTCCGCCCAGCGGGGCCGTGCCCGCGCCCGGTGCCCACGCGCCCGGCGTGCCCGGGTCCGCGTCCCGGGAGCTACTGGCTTGTGTCCTGTTCACGGCGTCTCTGCCACTCCAAACCCGCGCAGCTCTTCGCCCGTGTTTCCTTCTAGAAGCTTCGCCCGCTTTGCCGCTCACGTTTAGGGCTGGGGTCCAGCTCATATGCATTTTGCGTGCGGTGTGAAGCGGGGTTTGCACGTGTTGAGTGTGAGGCAGGGTTTGCACGTGTGTGGGGTGAGGTGGGGCTTGCGTGTGTTCCGTGTGGGCTCTGCAGGGCACAAGCCCTGTCCCTCAAGACAAGGGGGTTTGCGTGTGTAGTGTGTGGTGGGGTTTGCATGTGTTCAGTGTGAACTGGGGTTTGCACGTGTTGAGTGTGAGGCAGGGTTTGCACGTGTGAGGTGGGGTTTGCATGTATTCAGTGTGAACTGGGGTTTGCACGTGTTGAGTGAGAGGTGGGGTTTGCATGTGTGAGGTGGGGTTTGCATGTATTCAGTGTGAACTGGGGTTTGCACGTGTTGAGTGTGAGGCGGGGTTTGCATGTGTGAGGTGGGGTTTGCATGTATTCAGTGTGAACTGGGGTTTGCACGTGTTGAGTGAGAGGTGGGGTTTGCATGTGTGAGGTGGGGTTTGCATGTATTCAGTGTGAAGTGGGGTTTGCATGTGTGAGGTAGGGTTTGCACGAGTGGCGTGAAGTGGTGTGAGGTGGGATTTGCACCTGTGCAGTGTGCGGTGGGTTTTGTCTTTAGTGTGAAGCAGGGTGTGCATGTGTGAGGTGGGGTTTGCACATGCGCGGTGTGAGGTGAAGCTGGCACATGCGCAGTGTGAGATGGGGCTTGCACATGCATGGTGTGAAATTGGGCTCATACGTGCACGGTGTGAGGTGGGGCTTGCACATGCGCGGTGTGAGGTGGGTTTTGCATGTCTTTAGTGTGAAGTAGGGTGTGCATGTGTGACGTGGGGCTTGCACACGTGTAGTGTGGGGTGGGGTTGGCATGTGGCTGTCCCACCGGCCCAGCGCCGTCAGTGGCAAGACGTGGCCTCCTCCTGAACTGCAGTCTCGCCTCTGGCCTGGCCCCGCTGGCCCCCCCCCCCGGGGTCTGCGCCTAACCTGCCTCCCTCCCCGCCGGACCGCCGGCCCTCCCCTGGTCTTCCCTGCCCAGACTTTGTGGGGAGTCCTGAAATCGGGCAATAAAAATTACACCAACTTGGTTTTCCCTCCAAGTCCCTCTGCATTTCCTTACAAGTTTTAAAGTAAGCGTATCGATTTCTACCTAAAATCCCGCAAACAGCAGCAAAACCCCTGTTGGATGTTGATCGGGTTTGTGGATGACTTGGGGGAAACATTGACATTCTAATGCCATGGAGTCTGCAAACCCAGGGGTGAGGTGCCCCTGCCGTCTCGGGTTGCCTTTGATTCTCCCAGCAGCGTTGCGTGGTTCGCTTTGCCGAGATCTTACGTGGTTTTGTTAGATTTATGCATAGGGTGATATTTTTTTAATCCTCTTGATAAATGGTGCTGTTAAAAATTTTGTTTCCCAATTGTTTGTTGCCGGAATCTTGAAATGTGATTGATCGCTGTTTACCGTCCTGGGATCCAGCAACTTTGCTAGAGCTACTTACTAACCCTCGTATTTTGTAAATGTTTCGGATTCTCCACACTCTCATCCCGTTTGCGAGTTACGACCATTCTGCCTCTCCCTTCTCTCGTCTGTGTATCTTTTTCTCCCGTTGCCCTGGCCGGGGCCCCCAGCACGGCCTTGATGGGGACATCGGCTCTCGTTCCCAGCACAGGGGGAAGCACTCATGGGCATCATTGTGTGTGGTGGTGGCCCTGCGTGCTCTGTGCGTACCTGTGTCTCGGTCACTCTGGCTGCTGTAACAAAACGCAGCATCATAAACTGGGTCTCATAACCAGCAGGCTCTCACTGCTCGCAGCTCTGCAGGCCGGAGGAGCAAGATCCCAGCGTGGCAGGGGCCGTGTCTGGCGGGGACTCACCTCCTGGTTCACAGACGGCGCCATCCCGCCGTGTCCTCACGTGGTGGAAGGGGCGAGGGAGCTCTCTGGGGCCCCTCTTATTATAAGGACCCCAGTCCCATCCGTGAGGCTCCACCCTCGGGACCTCATCACCTCCCAGAGGCCCCACCTGCCAGCACCACCACCTTGGGGGTGAGGAGCTCAACACAGGAATTTGGCAGGAACACAAACATCCGGACCATGGCACCCTTTATTCGAATACGGGTGTTGTTATCTTCTGCTCCTGGTCTGTTTATTATTATCTTGAATTTTTAAAGGCTACTGAATTGAACGTGCGGATGTGCATTCTGTGTACAGCTGTGCCGTGACTCAGCATAACCAGCCTGTGATTTCCGAGTCCTTGACGGTTCAGTATCGGGAACACGCCGGCCTCCTAATGAGACTGGGAAGTGGCCCGTGTTCTGCTCTCTCTCTCTCTCTCTCTCTGGACGTGCGTGTGTGATTTCTCCCTCACACGCTCCGCGGAATTCACTGGCCAGGGCTTCTGGGTCTGGGGTTCTCTCGGCGGGAAAGTTTTTGGGTGTGGATTCCCTGAAGAGATGCAGGGCTGTTCAGCTGTCCTGCGTGAGCAGTTTAGGTCAGGGGCGTTGCTCAGGGAGTGGGTCCCTGTCACCAGACCTGTCCAGTTTGCTGGCAGAGTCAGGCACGGGTGTCCACCGACTGCCTCTCCGGTGTTTGCAGGCTCCACTGCAGCCGAACCGATGGTGGCAGTTTGTGTTTTCTCTCGTCGGCTCTTGAAGCTTTGCTAAGTGTTAATGTTTTTTAATTTCAAATCATCGAGTTTCGGTTTCGTGGATTTTCTCAATTGAACATTCGCTTTTTCTTTCATCTCTGCCCTTTACCGCCTACCTGCTTTTCCCGATGCAGGCCTTTAAGGCTGTGGACCTGCCGCAGGTCACTGCCGTGGCCGCGCCCACCAGTTCTGACGTGTGACATTTTCGTTACTGTCACCTAAGTTCTGCTTACGTGGTCGCATGTTCCTTTGCGAATGGGCGACTGGCAGTAGCTGCCTCATTTCTTTCTTTCTTTGTTTTTCTTTTTGTTTTTTTGTTTGTTTGTTTATTTGAGACAGAGTCTCACTCTGTTGCCCGGGCTAGAGTGCCGTGGCGTCAGCCTCGCTCACAGCAACCTCAAACTCCTGGGCTCCAGCGATCCTCCTGCCTCAGCCTCCCGAGGAGCTGGGACTACAGGCATGCGCCACCATGCCCGGCTAATTTTTTCTATGTATTTTTAGTTGTCCAGCTGATTTTTTTTAGTAGAGACGGGGGTCTCACTCTTGCTCAGGCTGATCTGGAACTCCTGACCTCAAGCGATCCTTCCGCCTCGGCCTCCCAGAGTGCAGGGATCCCAGGCTTGAGCCACCACACCGGGCAAGCTGCCTCGTTTCCACACAGGTGGGACCGCGGTTCCCGCTGGTCATCCACGCGGCCTCCCGCGTTTGCAGAGCCGAGGGGAGCCCCCCCAGGACGCTGGCCTCCCGCCCCGCCAGAGCCGAGGGGAGCCCCGCGTGCCCCCGGCCTCCCGCCCCGCCAGAGGCTGCGGGAGCGCGGCGCCCCTGCGGGCTGTGCGTTCTCAGATCGCGGGCACCCAGCCGGGCGGCGAGGGCCGGGTGTCTGTCCCGCAGGGCTTCAGGGCGGAGCTCGGTCTGTCTGGGGGTGTCGGTCGCTCACGCGCCCCGTCCCTCCCGCAGGCCTGCGGCTGCCCGCTGTACTGGAAGGCGCCCCTCTTCTGCGGCGCCGGCGGGGAGCGCACGGGCTCCGTGTCCGTGCACAAGTTCGTCGCCATGTGGAGAAAGTGAGTCCGGGCCCGGGGAGGGGTGGGGACGGGGGTGGGGGTGGGGTTCCCCCGTCCTCCCAGCGCCCTGTCCCCGCGCCACCCCGCCCCGCCCCGCATCGCACGGGAGGAGGGTGCGCGCCGCAGGGACGCACCGAGTCTCAGTGTCGCCGCAGGGTCCTGCTCAGCTGCCACGACGACGCCGCCAGGTTCGTGCACCTGCTCGCCAGCCCCGGCTGCAACTACCTGGTGCAGGAGGACTTCGTGCCCTTCCTGCAGGTGAGGCTGCGTCCACACCACACACACCTTCCTGCGTCCACACCACACACACCATCCTGCGTCCACACCACACCCACCCTGTAGCCTGGCACCCTCCCTTGGGTGCCGTTTCCCGCGCAGCCTGCTCAGAGACCATCACCCGCGCATGCCGTGGCGCGTGCGGACCTTCCCAGTGCCTTTGGAGCGTGGCCGCACAGAGGCAGAGGCGATGGAGCCCTTGGCGCTGTGCCGTCTCCACGAAATGGGTGGGGCGGGGCGGTGCAGACCGTGTCCCCTGCGCCCCTCTGATCCTGGGGGACAGCGCAGAGGTCACTCCGAGGTGAACGTCGCCAGGCGTTGCTTAGAGACGTCCCGAGCAGCGTGAGTGACGACGGTGCAAACGGCGGTGGCGGGTCTGTGACCGCCCCGGACTCCCGCGCCCTGGGCGGGACGGCCTTGACGCACGCGGTGTCCGCGAGGTGCCGGGTCACGGCGGGAGGGCGGGCCGCCGTCCTGTGAGGCCCCCGCGCGTGCTCGCGCAGTCGCTGTGCGGGGGCGACCCGCAGAGGCAGCGTGTCCTGCGGCGGGTGCGGGACGGGCCCGCGCTCCAGCTGTCCACGCCCTCCCCCCGCAGGACGTGGTGAACACGCACCCCGGCCTGTCCTTCCTGAAGGAGGCGTCCGAGTTCCACTCGCGCTACATCACCACGGTGAGTGCCCCCGCGCAAGCCCGGACCCCACACCGCGGGGACAGCCCGCCCGCCCCCGCGCTGCGCCACCGTCCGTGTCACTGCAGAGCCGGCCCCACGGGCTGCGCGCCCACCCCGCCCCTGCGCATCCCTGCCTAGCGGCTCGGCCAGGACGGAGTGCGGCGCGGGCGTGTCCTCGCCGCGTGCGTGCGGCGCGCTCTGCGTGGTGGCGCGGGGCGCGTGCGGGGCGGAGCAGCCGAGCAGACACGGCCGCCGCAGGGCAGGCGCTTCTGGGGGCGGGCGGGTGTCGGCCTTCCTGCGAGACTCGCAGGGTGACCCCCGGAAAGACAGACGGCGACACCGGTGCGGGCGGGGCGGTGAGGGGGGCGGGAGCACCTCTGCCCTGGTGGAGGGAGGACTTGGTGAGGGGGGGCGGGAGCACCTCTGCCCCGGGGGAGGGAGGACTGGTGAGGTGGGCGGGAGCACCTCTGCCCTGGGAGGGAGGACTCAGGTGGGCAGGAGCACCTGTGCCCCGGAGTAGGGAGGATTGGTGAGGGGGGCGGGAGCACCTCTGCCCCGGGGGAGGGAGGACTGATGAGGTGGGCGGGATCACCTATGCCCTGAGAGAGGGAGGACTGGTGAGGTGGGTGGGAGCACCTTTGCCCCGGGGGAGGGAGGACTGATGAGGTGGGCGGGAGCACTTCTGCCCTGAGAGAGGGAGGACTCAAGTGGGCGGGAGCGCCTCTGCCCTGGGAGGGAGGACTGGTGAGGTGGGCGGGAGCACCTCTGTCCTCGGG